AAATTATTCTAGACTCGCAGGCAAAGTAGAATAATGTAGTCGTGAAATAGCACTATTTTCCCGTTTTTCCGTTGTACACTCTAGGTATTATCCGCTCTTGTTACTATCTATATATGCATCACCAGTTATCATAATTGCTCCACGCGCATGCGTGCGTATAAGAATGTATTATACGTAGGGCGTTAGTCGTTGTGAGTGACTAGCAGCAGCAAAGGAAGAAGAATTCAACCTGTCGTAAAAAACCTGATATATGCGGCGCCCGTGAAAAAAAAAATGATGAAAGGGTGACGCACGCATAGTATATATTAAATTTTAGAAGTAGAGTTGGCATAAAATTGTCACATGCGTTGCATAGTATTGCTGCACTCTCGTGAACTTGCTTGTTTATTTCACCTTGCTTTATAGAAAAAATAATTATTTATGTAGTTGTTTTACTACGTGATGTGCGCGGGATTTCTCGCGTAGGTTGCGAAGTCTACGGAGGTTGCATTACATGAATTGCTATAACTCTATATCCAGAAACATTTTCGACAAACTCTTCGCTATGTAGATATTGAACGCTATTTTCATCGATGACGGATATTAATGAAGTATACGAGTGCCGTGACACAGTTGTTGTCGTTGGGCGATGGCTGCGTCTTGGTATGTTGGAAGGTTTTTATCGTAAGCACCACCACGATGACGTCATTAATCGTCATAATAGCGGCCAATAGTGTAGTAGGCCACGAAACTCATTAATCACACCTCGTGCGTTCTGTTTAACATGTTATATGCGTTGCACATGTGTTATATGAGTTTTATGTGATCGTATATGAACTATATGTGCGTTTATTATGTATGATGTTTGCTTATAAATGTTTAGGAATGAGCTATGCCTTTCGTCTTGCAATAACTCATGTATATCTAACATGCATATCTAACATGTATATATCTAACATGTATATATCTAACATGCACTCATGAACATGTATATATGCGTTACTAATATAGCGCGTTTATAGTGCGTCGAAGAACTGTTCTTACGTACATTTACGTTAACACGTTACGTGGGAATTAAGGTTTCGTAGTATTAGAACTTGGATTATTAGTAGTATTAGAGTTTGGATTAGAGTAATGGTTAGGAATAACGATAGCGATAGAGTCAGGGTCATGGTCCGGGTTAGAATTAGGGTTAGGTTTAGAACTGGTTTAGGCTTATACAGCGATCTACTAAAAATCGCGAAAACTTAAAAACGCTAAAACACAAAAAATATAAATATAAAAGACATGCTACTGCATTGGTTTGATTGCATGTTAACATAGTAGGCAAGCTGCAGGCAACTATCGTGTTGAACGCAGAATAAACAAAGCTTTTTGCCGCGGAATGTTTGATATCACCAGCGTCAGTGTATGAGCAGTTATTATTAGTAATATAACCGCATCTGATATTAAAGCGACTGTGGTTAGTGTGGTATAGCAGAGTACAATAGTAAACCAACAACATCTAGCATTATCTTTAAAATAACATGTAAATTTAACCCCCCAAAAAAATCATATCGATCGCTGTAGAATTTACCTCTAGGTTGCGACAGCTGTGACGATGATGGCGATGACATGAAGACCAATGAGAAACGACTCGGATATATAACAAGCTCTTGTTGACCTGGAGAATCTTCGTTGATATGAAAGAACAGGATCAGCTCCGTCAGCGAGCATGCGAAAACGAGAATGCCGAAGAAGAGACCCAAGATGGCGCCGTTGCAGTCGACGCGGAAGTGCGCGCGGCCGCCGTCGCCGCCGCTGCGGGTCGCGGGGTCGCCTTGACCGATGTTCTGCCACATGACAAACATGATGGCAGCAGCGACAAGGCTGTACTCGATCAGACACGGGAAGAGAAACTTCTCGGCCGTAACCGCCACATTGACGATCGCCATCACGTCGGTGCCGCCCCCTGGTGCGCACTGACGCCAACATGACACGTCTTCCACGGTGACAACTCTGCAGAAAATGACGACGTTATTAGAAAAGTGGATGACGTCGTTAGAAAAGCGGATGACGTCACTAGATAGGTGGATGACATCACTGATGATGTGAACGATATCGTTACGCAAATGGACGGCATCATTATAAATGCGCATGACGTCACTGTCGTTTTTGATTATAATTTCATATATGGGCACGCTATTGGTTCAGCAGAAGAAAAACTAATCGTTTCCCTTCTCTGTCAGCTCTGTGAACTCTGGGGAAGCCCCCTAAATTTTTTTAGAACGATACAAGCCTGCTAAATGTCAATAACCCTACAATGAGCGTAAATCGTCATATAATCATCTAAAAAGGTCTCGTCCCCCACTATCACGCTTTTACATTAATTGGGAGTTGGAATCTCGCTTGTCATTATTTATAGCTACGAACCTGCCGCCGCCACTTCCAGGAATTTGTTTAGGCTAAAGTACTGTCAGTATTCCTATCACCGTTATTGTTTCTATTAATATTACTATTGCTATTGCTATTAATATTACTATTGCTATTNAGCAGGCTGATTGCGATGGTCGGTTTCCTACTGATAATGAACACGACTGTACTTATACTCTGGCTAATCATTGATCCACCCCACGTCAAGACGCTAGAAGCCAGACCAATAGTACGTAGCGTAACAATACCTGGTCTGAACCTTGACCAATAGTACGTAGTGTAACATTACCAGGTCCGAAACAGAACCAATAGTTCGTAGCGTAACATTTTCAGATTCGAAACAGAACCAATGGCGCGTAGCGTAACAATACCTNGGGCGTAGATAGCGGGGGGATGGGGGATACATCCCCCCCCCCCACGTTTATTTGACGCGGGGGAGGATGGCAGTGTACAAGTCATCCCCCCTAATTTCAGGAGAAAATGGGGGATTCGAAAATTGTCTGGGGAGGCCCGCATTTACCCCGATGTTTCTTATCACCCTCTCGAAATTCTGCATTGGACACTGTCGAGGCGTAAAATTAGCACCACTTCAAATCGTTTCCGTCGGCGCCTGTAGAGTACTGCGGGAACAAGGATTATGATTTGAATATATGTATGCATATTCAATATAAATTTGAGTTCCTCTGACAGAGGGCGTATGATAGCGGGGGGATGGGGGTATATCCCACGCCCATCCACTTATTGACGGTGGGTGTGGTTCATCACCCCTACTTTCAGGAAGAAATGGGCAAACAAATTTAATATTTTACAGGACATAATACTGGATATTATCTACATAATCCGTCATCGTATTTATACTTCACTAAATGTATTGTTACAGAAATGAACGTTTGACATACATACTGTAATAATTTTGTGTATTCGTTCATAGAATGACATTTTTTATGAGCTCAGACGGGTTTAATTTTTTTTTTTGGACGGCTATTCCCGCATATCGATTTTTTTTTCAAATCCCCAAATCATAGTGCTTTATCATGTCACGAAAGTTTTAAATCCATTGCTTTATTCAATTAGAATAGGACTATGAGGTTGGAGATTTGAATTTTCAGGGGTTGAATGGGAAAATATTCAAATTTCATTACTTTTTGGGAGGGGGGATGGGGGTGTCTCGGACCGACAGGAGTATATTCGATTGTTGTTAATGGGTATGAAAATATGCACGAGTTGGTTCAAAATCTTAGGTTGTTTTTTCGGCATATTCCTTTGCAGTTTTAAGTTCTCCTTCTCAGTAAATTATACGTTTTATCAAAATACTTTA